TACAAAAAGCTTTTGATACAGTAAGTCACAAATTATTAATTGACAAAATGGAACATATTGGTATCAAAGGTACTCCCTTAACACTTTTTACTTTCCTATCTGCGTGCGTGCGTGCGTGCGTGCGTGCGTGCGCGCGTGCGTGCGTGCGTGCGTGCGCGCGTGTGTGTGTGTGTGTGTGTGTGTGTGTGTGTGTGTGTGTGTGTGTGTGTGTGTGTGTGTGTGTGTGTGTGTGTGTGTGTGTGTGTGTGTGTGTGTGTGTGTGTGTGTGTGTGTGTGTGTGTGTGTGTGTGTGTGTGTGTGTGTGTGTGTGTGTGTGTGTGTGTGTGTGTGTGTGTGTGTGTGTGTGTGTGTGTGTGTGTGTGTGTGTGTGTGTGTGTGTGTGTGTGTGTGTGTGTGTGTGTGTGTGTGTGTGTGTGTGTGTGTGTGTGTGTGTGTGTGTGTGTGTGTGTGTGTGTGTGTGTGTGTGTGTGTGTGTGTGTGTGTGTGTGTGTGTGTGTGTGTGTGTGTGTGTGTGTGTGTGTGTGTGTGTGTGTGTGTGTGTGTGTGTGTGTGTGTGTGTGTGTGTGTGTGTGTGTGTGTGTGTGTGTGTGTGTGTGTGTGTGTGTGTGTGTGTGTGTGTGTGTGTGTGTGTGTGTGTGTGTGTGTGTGTGTGTGTGTGTGTGTGTGTGTGTGTGTGTGTGTGTGTGTGTGTGTGTGTGTGTGTGTGTGTGTGTGTGTGTGTGTGTGTGTGTGTGTGTGTGTGTGTGTGTGTGTGTGTGTGTGTGTGTGTGTGTGTGTGTGTGTGTGTGTGTGTGTGTGTGTGTGTGTGTGTGTGTGTGTGTGTGTGTGTGTGTGTGTGTGTGTGTGTGTGTGTGTGTGTGTGTGTGTGTGTGTGTGTGTGTGTGTGTGTGTGTGTGTGTGTGTGTGTGTGTGTGTGTGTGTGTGTGTGTGTGTGTGTGTGTGTGTGTGTGTGTGTGTGTGTGTGTGTGTGTGTGTGTGTGTGTGTGTGTGTGTGTGTGTGTGTGTGTGTGTGTGTGTGTGTGTGTGTGTGTGTGTGTGTGTGTGTGTGTGTCAGTGTATGTGTGTGTGTGTCAGTGTATGTGTCTGTATCCACCATAACTCATGAACCAATACAAGGAAAATTACCAAATTTTAAACTTAAGCTTTATTTCAGCCTGCGGTGAACTGATTAGATTTTGGGCAGAGTCGGAACATTTGGGGGGGTACTTTATTGGTGGTCATTTTTATGTTTTATGAAATATATCCGTTATTTACGTTTGGAGAAGAAAATTAATCAGATAAAAATTACAATAATATTATCTATAATTTTGGTTCTATACATTTTTTTTTTTAAATGGTCCGTATACGAGAAATTTGACAAAATGTAATAAAATTCAAATTTTTAGGAAAATTGTTTAAATAAAAGTTATTTGTGATATCGATCTCTATAATTTTTGTTTTTTATATGATTTTTCTAAAATGAACCGTATTGGAAAAATTGAAGGAAAAGTGCTAAATTTAAATTTTTCAGTATTTTCGTTTTCAAAGAATATCTATAGAAAAATGTTTCGAGTTAGATGTATGTGGAAAATGTATATATTTAGTTTATCCTTTAAACATTTATAGAGGTGCTCCAATAGGTTGTACAAAATAACCGGAAAAAGCCTATAATAACTAGATAGGAAAGTCATGTGTTGGACACATCAGATTTTTAGAAATTTTTTAATAAACCTATATCAGCGTGTTAAAATTAATGAATCACTTAGTGGAATAAGAACAGTTGTTACAATCACCAAATGTTCCGTCCTTTTGATGGTTTTCTTGCATTTTCTAAGGTAAATAAACTCTTCCCACTTGATAAAACATTTATTTTATAAGTAAGGTAACATTGTATAAAGGAATATTGTCTCCACAAGAAAAAGTACTCCTAAATCTTCTTCGTTTCTAGTCTTTTCGTTTTAATTTCCTGAAATAAATTAAATATATTATTAGTCGATCACAACAACATAGTTAAGTCAGGTTAGCAAACAAAATATGACGGCTGTCGAATATTCTTCTCGGTTAGGAGGTGGTCCTAAATGGCTTAAGGTTTCGGCGACCCTGAAGATTGAGACCTTGGCTGTCAGTTTATAACATACTTAGGCAAGAAGAAGAACTTTCTTTGCGGGAATCGCCTCCATTTTGCCTAACGGTTTCCGGTTTTTTCTGATTTGAATTGAAGAAAAAACTGTCCTTAGATCTTGGTTCTCGTGAGTTGCACGTATCGGTTTTCCGGATTTTTACAAGTATAAGGAAATAGATCATTGTCAAAAGTAATTATTAGTAGACCTAGGGATCTATTTATCGCAAATTGTGGATTTTCTTTTGACTATATTAGGTTACACTTTGAGGCCCCATTACATCAATGGTAAGTGCCCCGCTTAATGCCCACAGTACGCTTTAGGTATGAATTTTACTCACCTGCCTTTATTATTTTAGGCCTCCTTCCTTTGAGCTCGAATATAACGCCATATCATCATAGTTTAGGGTTTTCATAACCGCCCTTCTTTTCTCGTCCTCGCTACCGGCATAAGGGTTGCACCAGTCAAGTTTCTACCATCTCGTCGGCGCGGAATCTTGCTGAGGCTATCTACAACAGGGAATAAGGAACCACTAATAACTGAATAAAAATATAAAAGGGGTGTACCTACCGAGGGTAGTTTCCACCCTGAGACAGCTCCTACCATAGACGAGAGCATCGCAGGAAAGACAAGTAAGCTCTTTCCATATCCTTTGAGACTTAAGTGATTGTTCACGAAAAACCGTTTCGAACATAGTTTCAAATCATTTGAACTTTAGTTATAGTTTTAAGGTTCAGTTCCGAAACTTCCCTCGAACGTTAAATTTTGATTAAATATAGGATTGACTTTTGGAGATAAACCATATCGCTATTCACTTTTGAATTATTCACTCAAAATAAAAATCACTTGTCTATTACGTATAATAACATTTACAATAGCTTAGTTTCATTCACTAGTTTCGAAGGCGATTGATCGCGAAGAAACACCAAATGTTTAGTTGTAAGACATTTTAAATGTAAACAATCTGTATATATACATATTGGAGCGGTAAGACCGCACCTTATTATTTTTGTAGCACTTTGTGGCATAATCATTTAAAAACAAGCCACCCTAACACCACTATTATAATGTCCATTGTTAACACCCCAAAATCAATACACTACTTCAAGTACACGCTGCAGTTTTATTAATTTCATCAAGTCATCAGACAAATTCTTACGGAACCCTCGAGATTACCGCTTAATTATCCACCAAGGATAGTAAAAGGGTATCACAGTATCTTGCGGAGTTCCACAAGGCACTACTCTTGGACCTATCCTTTTCATTAAATATTTGAATGACTTACTTGCTATTAAAAATTCAAGTCATATAATCTCTTTTGCTGATGATACGGTCCTTCTTTGTTGTGGAAAAAATTAAGAGTTAGACAAAAACAAAATTGAGGAAGATCTGAAAAAAGTAACAAAATGGTTTCAATCGAATTTGTTAACCCTAAATATTTAAAAAATTAAAGTAATTTCATTCTGTACAAATGAAAGTACTCTTCCTAATTATAGAAGTATCACTTTGGAAAAGGACGAAATCCTTTATTTTACAAAACACATAAAATACCTTGATATTCTTGTTGATACCTTCCTTAGATGGGATGCTCACGCGGATAATCTTAAAAATAAAATGCGTTCGTTAGTTTACAAATTTTATCAATGCCTTAGATAAAATGAAAATCATTTACTTTGCTCTTGTAGAATCATTGCTAAATTATAGAATAAATCTGATCTCCAAAAGCAAGTTAGCTTGTGTGGAATTAAGGAATCATGCCACCCTCAGTATTCACAAAATTGAAAAAAGGTTAACAAATTAGTTAAAATTTAAAGAAATTTACAATTAGAGGGTGACTGTGGAAGATATATTGAAATTTGAATCTATAATGCAATATTTGATATGAAGAAAGTAAAACGCAGAAGGCCAAAGTAAAAAAACTGAAGGTTTTTTTTTTATATATGTTTTATATACATTATAATTATGAAAAAGTCTACCTAATTACATAATTATAATGTATATAAAACATATAAAAAAAAAACCTTCAGTTTTTTTACTTTGGCCTTCTGCGTTTTACTTTCTTCATATCAAATATTGCATTATAGATTCAAATTTCAATATATCTTCCACAGTCACCCTCTAATTGTAAATTTCTTTAAATTTTAACTAATTTGTTAACCTTTTTTCAATTTTGTGAATAGTGAGGGTGGCATGATTCCTTAATTCCACAAAAGCTAACTTGCTTTTGGAGATCAGATTTGATTTGTAAGGGCTTATCCCACACTCACTATTCCCAATACCAGGTTTTTTGTCACTTTGTCTGTTTCTTGTAATTTTTAATTTGTTCAAACAATTGTATATATACTATTTTAACTTTTGACTTAAAAGTCTAATTCAGATTTTATAATTTTTTTAAATCTTTTTAAATTGTAAGTTTACATCCACAATTTTTGTAGATGAGCACTGATGATGGCAAATAAGCCGAAAGCGCTTTGCATTGATTAATAAAAAAGTTTTGCACGAAATACAAGTTTTTCCTTTTTGAATCTAAACTACGTGCACACAGCTGTCAACCTTTTTTGGTTTTTTTAAATTGATATGGTTTTTAATTGATTTTCTAGAATTCAAACAACTAGCTTTGCTAAATTAATTTCTGAATATTGACAAGGAAAATTAAATTTTGTTATGCAATTTCACTACCTGGAGATTTAATATATCAGTATGCGTGTGGCGATTCGATAACTGTAGAAAGAAAGCTCTAATCCAGTTTTTGGATATTTTTTAAATTAATCTGTTTTTAAAAATTTATCGTAGAAAAATAAAAAAGAATTCTCTAAATGTTTACTATTTATTTAAAAAAAAAATATTCGTATCCTTATTCTCATCGTTATTTATATCCTTATAATATATTTATACCCATATTTAACATTGAACTCCAGGTGGTTTGTAATTACAATAACTACCCTTGCTGGCACCAGAAATGGATACTCCAGACCAATTGAAGTTATAGCATGCACCACTTCCACAAAGTACGTAAATTGCTGATGATTTAGATCCAGTCATAGTTCCAGTTATCCTATTCATTTTTAACCCTTTAATTGGAATATTATTTGATGCATGTCCAGTTGAACCGCCATTTGCATAATCTTGTTGTACGTTGATTCCATAGTAGGTGATTCCAGATAATTTTATGTTACTATAAGTAATATCATTAACAGATCCGCGAGCAGCATCTGAATGCGTTTTAACATGGATACCATTACGGGAATTTGTAACAGTACAATCACTGAAAGTTATATTGGATACCTGGTTTTTAGAAGGATCAGTTTTACTCATTCCAATAGACAAGCTTAGACCGTGTCCACCAAAACATTGCAAGTTTGAAAAGTGTAAGTTTTTTCCAGAATTAACAGCAACACAATCATCTTGGTTCTTAATAACTGAGTTTCTAACTGTAACAGTATCTGAATTGGAAGTGTCAAATCCATCGGTATTGTGTCCTAATTTATTTCTGTCACCAGCGGAAACATCAATATTCCATCCTGATAAAGTGAGTTGGTTGGAGTTTTGGATCGATACACATTGAATAGGACAGTTCAGCAAGTGGATATTTGAGAACGTTGATCCTCCAGTAGCTTTAATTCTGAAGAATTTTGGTTTTCCTGGATTTGCGCCACCTTTGCCATCCCAGTAATGAGGTCCTTGTCCATCTAATTTTGAACCAGGAGCTCCAATCACATTAATCCTATTTCCTGTAATAAAGATTAGTGGCCCTTCCCATTTCGTACCATAACCAAAAGATGTAGTACCTTGGAAAGTTAAAGTAGTTCCAGATTTTAAGTCAAGTTGCAAAGTTTTTCCTGCAGGTACGGCAAGTCCATTAATAATTATGTTTGTACAACTTTTTACTACTGTACTAACTTGCGAGTAAGAAGTAATTGTACAACCACCGGCGTAACTTGTCTCGTTAAACAGAGGAGATGCTGTTGTACATACTATTAAAGTTATAACGAAGATAAAATTAAAACACCACATTTTGATTGAATGGAAACTAGATTATATGTCATATACTTTATGTTTTCCGAAATTATTTATAGTATATTTTGAGCCCACTTGAAGTTATTTACAGGTACTTATGACTTGTTTAATTTATTTAATCTTCTGGACAAACAATGGACTAATTTGAAACCTTCTGTTTACTGGGGTTACTCTTAGTAATGTGATTATTACAAAAATACTACACAGGTTGTCCCAGACTAATTCATCCAAGCTACTGTATCTAATAATTAAATAGAGATATTCGTTAGATTTATATGATCTATAGATCCAAAACATTCTGAATAGAAACTACAGTTTTCAATCAAGTTGTATAGCTTTTAGTTTCTGTTTTAAACCTCCCTCATTACTGAGGCCCTTCCTATGGGGCCTCAGTATTGCATTCGTGTAGACGAAAAAAATTTCTAACCCCCACTTTTTTAAACTTTTTTTCATGTTTCCGATCATTCTGAGACCGAAAATGCAAAAAAAAATTTGGTCTGATCGTCTGTATGTATGTATGTATGCCGGCACGATAACTTACGATTTTGATTTTCTTGAATAATTACTTCTAACTATTGATTTTCAGAATTTTCGGTTCATCCTAACTACTTTAATATCAATTTTCTTAAAATCCACCTATGCATTTCTTATACAGGGTGTCCTAAAATTCCGTGTACATAGATCTACCGTATGTTGGTGAGATCAAAATAAGTCGATACTACTCATTTTATGTATGTATTGTATTTTTTCTGTTTCGATTTAAAGTTTTTGTGAAGAAATTATTTCAAACATTTTGTGGTTGGTATGGAGACACATTCAATGAACAAACTGATATGTTGCTAGTGCTTGGTTTCTGTAATGGCAACTGCCGTGAGAGTGTTCGGGTATACCATGAAAGATTTTTAAATCGACAGATTCCGAATCGCCAGACTTTTACTTCTATCGAGAGGTGACTTCGAGAAATTGGTCAACTGAAACCGAACAGAAATAATGCTAAAAGACCTCGTCATGTTAGAACTCCTGCTGCAGAGGAGGGAATACTTGAAATAGTTGAAAATAATCCTGAAATTAGTACCCGATGACTGGCATGCCAAACTAGAATTTCAAAAAGCACATCCAACAGAATAATTAGAGAACAACTTATGTATCCCTTTCACATTCAAAGTGTCCAGGAACTCCTACCTCCTGATTATGAGTCTCGTTTGCATTTTGTACAAGTTATTCAAGAGCATAGAGCGGCCGATCAAGTTTTTCACAGAAATATTTTGTTTACAGACGAGGCATGCTTTACACGACGTGGTATAATAAATTCACATAACGAACATGTTTACGCAGATGAAAATCCACATGCCATTAAAGAGAAACACTTTCAACGAGAGTTTAAAATTAATGTGTAAGTGAATATTATTGACACCTACTTGATTGGTCCATTTAGATTACCAGATCGTCCTAACGGTGACAGTTACTTGCATTTTCTACGTCAAGATTTGCCTTAACTGTTAGAAGATTTACCGCTCAATTTACGTCGTGACATGTTTTTTATGCACGATGGTGCACCACCTCATTTTTCCCGCATTGTGAGAGATTATTTAAACGAACAATACCATGGAAGATGGATTGGCAGAGGTCGGGATGCTCCTATTCAATGGCCACCTCGATCACCGGACTGTAATCCTTGTGATTATTTTATCTGGGGTCACTTGAAAACCAAAGTTTATGAAGTTCCTATCGACAACATTAAACAATTATGGAGTAGGATTCAAACTGCTGTGAACTCTATCCGAAATGATCTAGGCATTTTGAGAAGGGTACATTTCAATTTCTTGCGCCGAATTGAAATCTGCATGAACGAAGAAGATGGCCATATTGAACATTTATTGTAAAAAAATTTATCCTTCTTTTTAAATTGTTATTTTTTAATAGATACCTATGCCTGTTAATGATTGTTTTATTGTAATAACGTTAAAAGCGTGTTCGGGTTGCAGTAGTAACCGCCAACTTAGTTTTCTTGAAAATTTTAAGTGACTAACCATCAGTCCATAATTTTTTTTTTACTCAAATACCATGAGAGATACATGTTTTTTGTAAGAAAGAAAAAATGCTACGAATGAAAACAGCTCTCCACAAAAAAAAATTAGGGAACAGGGGCGGCCCTAAAAAAAATACGATGTCATTTATGGTAGGATTAGGGTGGTTTTTACCCTTCCTTAATTTCAGTTGGTGTAATTTTTGCTTTGAACAATGGCTCTTAAATTAAAATAGCTACACACTAAATTTTATAAAAATCTAACGAAACGTTTTTGTGTTATTAAAAAAATTGAAAATTTTCTTAAAACCTTGAAGCTTCCTCACAGACAAACGATGGACTTTATGATACAGGTAATTTTGGCTCAATCGACTTATTTTGATCTCACCAACATACAGTAGATCTATGTACACGGAATTTTGGGACACCCTGTATGACTAATTTTAGGAATTTCAATTATTTATAACGTTTGACATTCCTAACATTCTTTATATTCCATACATTGTAAACATTATCCAACGACCTGTCAGACAACAGCTATCAACTGTGATGCGTGAATGACTCTTAAATTTCAAATTATTTGTGTGCTTCTTTTGATATTTATTGCAAATAATTTGTAGTGTATCTTAATTCAGGCTTTCCATAAATAAAGGTACAGCAAAACAGATTATATAATGTTCTTATACGAAGCACTTTTTTTATTATACTCTTTTTTAAAATGCTGGTTTTAATTATACGATTAAATTACATTGAGGGGTTGAAGTGCAATATCATATAGTCCACATTATACCATATCGCTAAATATCAACTAGCGAATTGTAAATAATAATTAGTCGTAAATTTCCACAATTCATAGAATTTAAAAATAAATATTTTAACTTTGGTTGTTATTGACGTAATGTGATCAACCCATTTCAAATTTTGATCCATTATGATACCGAGGTATTTTGTTGTGTTTTTCATTTTAATTATAAAGTTATCAGTTATTTGTATGTTGAAAGAAGGCCTTTATTGATCTCTATAGATCTACTCTAACACAAAAATAGTTTTGTGGCTATAAGTTTCTATAACATAACTATAGTCACAAAACTATTAATAATTTAAACATGGTAGGTAGTATTAATATAACATCAAGAAATTTTTTAAAATAAGGTACAAAACAGAAATAATTTATAATAAATACGGGTAAAACGAGGGGTAAAATAACAATAAATTAAGGAAATACTTAAAAAGGGCAGGTTTAAAGAGTATTATCACAAGAAAGTAGGTATATCTGTTCTGTTTATTTATCAAGTATTTTTTGAGGTTACTTTTGAAAACACTTATTGTTTTTTTTTAATTTGTGTAGAAAGTCTATTAAATTTTTGCAAACCTTTAATAAAAATTTTATTTTGGGAACTTTTAATGATGACTTGCCGTACATAAAAGTCAGATTGACTTGTATTATAGTTGTGATATTTCGAATTATATTGAATTTTTTTAGTAGATCTGATGCAATGGTACTGTCATTTTTATTTTATAAATAAATATTAGTCATGTACTGAACATAATTCTGAACTGAACGCAGATTTATTTATTTTAACATAGTTGCAATACTCATCCTTTTGTCCTTTATTATTATTATATAAATAGGCAAAGTAAGGAGCCCAAATATTTTACATGAGCAGGCTTAAGAGGTAAAGGGTCCAATTATTATTGGAAAAATTGCTCGAACAAGTTTGTAAACACTCAAAAGGCAATATAAAATGGTTTTAAAAATCAAGGCTTGTGAAAATCATCACATGGTTTAACTTAAGTAATGCCAATGCTTTACAAACCAAAAAAACTCAACGTCCCAATACTACTATCGGCTTTCGGTCTTTCCTTCCAAGCTAAATCCTTTCTCGTTTTTTTTACGCTACGAGTTTACCTTTGTGGGCCTCAGTCTTGATCAGGTGGGTACCACCATTTTAGCATCTCTCGAATTCAATATTCAATTTGGTACAGATTGATTGATTGATTCATTTTAGGAATAATTTTGCGACATGCTTCTCTTATGTTTTGTCTTGATTGTACTGTTTTGTTTGGTGGGCTATATCTTTTACTGCTCCACCAAACTAAGGGACAAGAGGTGACAAATGATATAGCCATGTAAACTATTGAAAATTATTTTCTTTCTGTTATTCACCCTTAAATAAATACAACTTTTGTTGCGGAATTAGCCAAGGAAGTAGTTATTTTCAAGAGGAAAATGGTCGGTTATCGTTTATGTGACAGGGTAATTAAGATTCTTTCCTTTTTCTTTATGATTTACTTTTAAATTGACCACATTTAAGAATAGGAATATTTTTCCTTCAGTAATTGCCCGTCTATTTATTATTTTGCCTCGTTCTAGGGAACTAGGTATACGACGAGCTTTGATTTGGCTTCCTAAGTACATTGTTTTTATGTCTAAACCTCCTTATCCTCGAGAATTTATGTCTGTAAAATGTTAAGGAAATTATATTTATTATAAATTCTACATGCCAAATTTAGTTTTGTTTTTTATTTGATGAACACTTACTTACCGTCACTTGTACATCAGCCCTGATACAAATTTTTGGAAAAAATTATGTAACAGATAGATTTTTAAATCAAATAGGACATCTTTTTCTGATACAGAAGTCTATCATGGGTCACCTACCTCTCTTTTACATAAGCGCTTAACCCAATTTGATTGATTATTTTTTAGTGTAGAATAATACAAAATTTAAATTTTCTTCCTGAGAGATAAGCTAAGTATGAAGTGTATTGCTTAAAAACAAATAAGTTTGTTTTGAATACACGTGTATAAAATAATATTTATCTAGAACACCTAATTTTATGTTACTGGATTAAAAAATAATTTTTTTTTTAGTTAATATTGTTACAAAGTATCAAATTTTAGCAGGTTCAGTTGTTACCGACATAGCATGAGGCGAGCAGCCAGAAGGCACCCTGGAACAGTGGTTCT